ACAGGGAAAACAAGCATCAAGCAGACTGCCTGCTCATTTTCTTAGGAGCAAAGAAATCACAACTCACATATTATAATTGGACTGAAGCTGATTGTTATATTCAACGAATCATGAACACCAGAATATCTTTGTATTCTCTCCAAGAGAACCAGAGCATGCAGAAATCAGCACGGATATTGATTTTAGCATATTTGATCTGCATTCAGTATTTCAATACAAGCAAAGACGGCTGTAGAATTTCTGGGATTCATCCAGAATCTCAGATAGAGGAGACAGTAGCATCTCCTTCAGTGCTCAGCATATTTTATACAACTGGTATTAAAAATGCATTATGTATTTGGTAAAAGCAGAACTTAGAAAAAATCTGAAAATTGTTAGCTCTTGGTTATATTCAGAGGAAAATGGCTTAATACTTAATGATTCAACATGGCTTTGACTCAATTTGTGTCTGTATCTGGTAGTGTTTAAGTCTTGCAGTCAGGCGTCTGGGTTCTGAACTACCTTTCCAAGTAAGTCTGCATTTTAATTCTGCTTTGTGTTTTTCAAGGGGCAGTAATGTTCTCTCTTTGTCTTATCAAAACTATAATATTGTTGAAAACAGAAAGCACATAATTTTGCATCTTAATGGATAGCATACCTCCTTCTGGCATTTTAAATTGATCTGATTTTGGCAGAATCATCCCCTGAACATCAGGACCATCTCCACATTCATCCCCAGTCTTTGAGACAGCTGGCTGGGGTCAGCTTCCAGGTCAGGCACTAAAAAATACAAAGGGTATTGATTGAAGCAGGCAGGCAAGAAAGATAAATAAGGAAATGATAATATTGTTTTCCTCATTGTTAGGAAATAAAATCCTGTCGGCCACTGTGGTAATAAATGTGATGCAAAGATGTCACACCTTTGTTTTCCTCTGTTATAAAATCTTACTTTAAATGAGTCTCAGGGTAAATCACACTACACCTCCATTTCCTATACTTTACCATTGTGAATTATAAACTATGAGTATCAGTTATCTAAGAAATCTGAAGCCTGCTGCACGGATAGCATTTTTTAAATGTAACTTTCTGAAGGATTAGATCAATGTACTGGCGGGTCTATGACAAATCTTATACTCCTAACATCCATCCCCTTTTTAAGAACTTGAAAATTCTGGTGTGTAAATTAATGAAAGTTATTGTTAGGTCCAAAGGCCCTAAGCATAACTTTCTATAAATGAATCCCATTAAGATAAAAAGTACCAAATATAACAGCAAAATCACTGTCTTCAGTGAAAGTATGGGAACCTGAATGCAAAGAAATTAATGGACATTGTTGACAGTCATATTGTAGAAACCTCTTAAGAGTGAATTGCTAAAATAATCCATGGCCTAAATTCGGCCAATATTTAGCTTGAAAATGCTATCCTTTGAGGAGATAATTTCTGTTTCATGATGATCGTATCATACTCTAAATTGTCTAATTACAAAACTATTGAAGCAAGTTGTAAAAGTCCCTTAAAAACCATACTAATATAGTCAATATAATAATATACAGTATCCTGAATTATCCAGCTTTTCCCAAACATACTGTCAAAAATATTGATCAAAGGGAATAGTGGCTGTTCCCTTTGGTCCGTATTCCTTTGATTGAGCTCATTTCTGGAGTTGCTATCCTGCTTCACTGAATTGCGCCTTTTCCTGAGCCAACACTGAAGTAACTTAAAGTACAAACACATTCAAGTATTAAGTATTTTCAGTAAAATCAGTCATCTTTTCTAATAACATAGACAGTGGGGCAAACACAAACTTTGAAACGTAATTTAAATTCTTTTTCCATGAGTCAAGTGTTCTTGGTAAGCTTCAATCTCTAAGCCTCAGTTTTCTTATTTATAAAATGGGGCTAACATCCCTATGCAAATGGGCTTTATTCAGGGTATTACAAGGTAGGGTTACTTGGCACTCTACATGCTATTAAAGGGTGCTTACAACACCATTGACACCATGGCTGAGACAATCATACAACAACATTCTAAGAAAATCAAATTAAACTAGTAAAATAATGTACATTTTTATATATAAAATTAAACTGTTTCATCTGATTTAGCAAGGACTGTATTTTCAAGAATGCAAAATAAACCTCAAAGAAAAAGATAAGATTCATTGTAACCAGAGACTGCATGAAGCTGCGAACTATACTCTTCACTTTTTCCAGCCAGCTTTCAGCAAGTGTTTGAGATCCTTTCCTAATGTTTTCTTTCCTCCTGTTACTGTTTATGTTATAATTCATGATGCACATATAGGCCTCCTCTACCCACCCCCCACCATAAACATTCTTTCTTTCCCTTCCCAGCACCCTGAATCTCAGTAGCACCTTGATCTTCTTCTCCCTCCTGACCAGATGTAGGATCTTGACTTTCAGTGGGTGGTTTCTCTTCTTGAGGCTCTTCATCACTGGGCTCCTGGACCAGGGGTGTGGCTTTTTTTTCATATGTTTGTTGGCTGCATAAATGTCTGCTTTTGAAAAGTGTCTGTTCACATCCTTTGCCCACTTTTTGTTGGGGTTGTTTTTTTCTTATAAATTTGTTTAAGTTCTTTGTAGATTCTGGATATTAGCCCTTTGTCAGATGGGTACATTGCAAACTTTTTTTCCCATTCTGTTGGTTGCCGGTTCACTCTATGATAGTTTCTTTTGCTGTGCAGAAGCTCTTAATTTTAATTAGATCCCATTAGCCTATTTTGGCTTTTGTTGCCATTGCTTTTGGTGTTTTAGTCATGAAGTACTTGCCTATGCCTATGCCTATGTCCTGAATGGTTTTGCCTAGGTTTTCTTCTAGGGTTTTTATGGAAGTAGGTGTTATGTTTAAATCTTTAATCCATCTGGAGTTAATTTTTGTATAAGGTGTAAGGAAGGGATCCAGTTTCAGCTTTCTGCATACAGCAAGCCAGTTTTCCCAACACCATTTATTAAATAGGGAATCCTTTCCCCACTGCTTGTTTTTGTCAGGATTGTCAAAGATCAGATGGTTGTAGATATGTGGTGTTATTTTTGAGGCCTCTGTTCTATTCCATTGGTCAATATCTCTGTTTTGGTACCATGCCGTTTTTGTTACTGTAGTTTTGTAGTAGTTTGAAGTCAAGTAGCGTGATGCTTCCAGCTTGGGTTTTTTTTTTGCTTAGGATTGTCTTGACTATATGGGCTCTTTTTTGGTTCCAATTATCTCTTTTTATACCTGAACAAATTCCCCTTTGTATAATTAATTGTATTATCACATTCATTTTAATCTATCATTACTGTTATTGATATCAAAATATGAAAGAGGTATATATCATGAACACTATGATACAGAAAAAGAAATGGAGAGGGAAATGGAGTTGTAGCAGAAGACCACTAAATATTTGAACCACTAAATATTTGTTTCTAAAACTAAGTGTTATCAAGGGACCACTGGCAAATTTCACAAGTTCATTCATCATGTTTGTGATGAATAGATATTCAAGTATTACTGGGATATATTTAATAATGTATGCATCCTAGCTTATCAACCATTTCATCTATATTCTGAAAATATTAGAGTTTAAGAATGTATTCACTTTCAGCTGGGCATGGTGGCTCATGCCTGTAATGGCAGCATTTTTGGAGGCTGAGACAGGTGGATCACCTGAGGTCAGGAGTTTGAGAACAGCCTGTCCAACATGGCAAAACCTCATCTCTACTAAAAATACAAAATAGCCGGACATGGTGGTGCATGCCTGTAGTCCCAGCTACTCAGTAGGCTGAGTAGGAGAATCACTTGAACCTGGAAGCAGAGATTGCAGTCAAGATTATGCTGCTGCACTCCAGCCTGGGCAACTGAGCGAGACTTTGTCTCACAAACAAAACAAAACAAAACAGAATGTATTCACTTTCAGTTATACTATATATTCAATATCTGTGTCCTCTTCATATTATGTACTGTGCTTCTCCCATTTTCTTCAAGGCTGTGGAAACAAATAGTCTATTAATAGCTATTTTAAAATAAACAATGTGTTAAATGTATTACTTTTGGATTAGTTTTCCTTTTACTAATGGTTCATACCTGTCTGTTATTATGTACCTCTTTCCTTTTCCATTAGGTTTATTCTGTTGCTCTTTTATTATTATATATAAGATTGCTATTTTATCATGTAATTTGCTATCTATTCTAATAAGATATGCATTTAAGGCTATGGTCTTTCTAAGAATACAACTGAGGCTTATTCAACAGGCTCCTGAAAACTATCTTTTAATGTAAATAGTTTAACGGAATGGTTCAGCAGTGCGGAGTAAAAAACATTTAGATAATTTCTTCCCTAAATGTGGAATTCTTCCTGCAAATTCAGAAACTCTTCTAATTAACAGTCAGAAATTTGGAAAATATGTGTAAAAGATACTTATGTGGACTACTCAGGAATTAGTACCTTATGGTCTTTGAACTTTAAGTCCTATCATCTGATGTGTCAAGGCAGAAACCTGTAATATGTAACCTATGATATGGTTAGAGGTGATTATATCATATGTGTCTTTATTATATACAGTAGCTCATGAAGACTGACAGGAGGCCAGGGAGCATGCTTAGCACACGCATCTTACACCTACCTTGAGCATCACTGACCTACATGCATTCCCCCTACTTCATCGGCCACAGAAACTAGACTGTCTCTTGCTATTTTATTGCTCAGTCATTCAAGGCTTCACTGTGAGGAGGCTTTAAAATGCAATTATTCTTTAAGAGCCAGACAATTCAGAATTTGACAAAATCCAAGAATACTCATGAAGGTCTACATACTGGAAAACAAATATCAAGCAGCATGCCCACCCATTTTCTTAGGAGCAATGAAATTTCAGCTCAGATACTATAATTGGACAGAATCTGATTGCTAGGAAAAACAAATCATGGAAATTGGAATATCTTTGTATTCTGTTCAACAGAACAAGAGCATGAAGAAAGCAACATTGAAATGGATTTTTAATACATTTGATTTGCATTCACCATTTTCAATAATAGCAAAGTTGGGTGTAGAATTTATGGAATTTGTCCAGAATCTCACAAATTATCATAGGGCTGATACTAGAATCTCCTTCAGTGCTCAGCATATTTCACACAGCCTGGTATTACAAATGCATTATGTATTTGTTAAAAGTAGAAATTGGAAAAGAATCTGAGAATTGTTACCTGTTGGTTATACTCAGAAATAAGAAAATGCTTTAATATTGGATGACTCAATATGGCTTTGACCCAATTTGTGTCTGTATCTGGTAGTGTTTAAGTCTTGCAGTCAGGCATTTGGGGTCTGAACTACCTTTCAAAAAAGCGTGTATTTGAAACATATTATTAAAGTGGCAGTAATGTTATCTCTCTATGATCAAAATTGTAATATTATAAAAAATAGAAATCACATAATTTTGCATCTTAATGGATAAAACACCTGCTTCTGTCGTTTTAAAGTGCTCTACTTTGGGTAGAATCTTCCCCTTGACATCATGACCATCTCCACATTCATCCCCAGTCTTTGACTGACACAGCTCCTGGAGATAAGCTTCCAGGTCAGGCACTAAAAAATACAAAGGTTATGATCTTAAGTAAACAAACATGAAGTATAATTAAGGAAGTAATAATATTCTGTTCCACAGAATTATGAAATAAAAGCCTGTAGGTTAGTGTGATAATAAATGTGACACAAAGATGTCACACCTTTGTTTTCCTGTATTATGAATTCCTATTTTATTTTATTTATTTGTTTTTTAATACAGGGTTTCACTCTGTCATCCAGGCTGGAGTACAGGGGCGTGGTCTCAGATGACTGCAGCCCTGACCTCCTGAGCTCAAGCAATCCCCCTGTCTCAGCCTTGTGAATAGCTGAGACTACAGGCACATGCCACCACCAAGGCTATTTTTTGTATTTATTTTTGGCACAGAAAATTTTTTAGTGTTTCTCCATGTTGCCCAGGCTGGTTTCTAACACTCAGGCTCAAGGGACCTACCAGCCTCTGCCTCCCAAAGTGCTGGGATTACAGGTGTGATCCAATGCAACTGGCGTGAAATCTAATTTAAAATGACAATCTAAGGATAAATCACACTGCAGCCTCATTTCCTATACTTTGCCATTGTGCTTTATAAACAGTGAGTATCAATTATGTAAGGTATCTGAAGTTTGCTGTATGCATAGCATTTTAATAATAACTCAAAGGTAAGTTTCTGAAAGATTAGATCAATGTATTCCCGGGCTTATGACAAAAACTTACAATTGTGACAGCCACATCTTGTTGAGGTAATTTGAAAATTACTTGGTTAAAATTAATTCAAGTTATGCTTAGGTCCAAAGGCCCTACATGTAACTTTTTATAAATAAATCCCATTGAGAATACAGTATCATAAATAAGAGGAAAATCACAGTCTTCCAGTGAGAGTTCAGAATTTAAAAACTATAATTTTATAGTACTTTGATTTTATAGTACTTTAAGTACTATAATTTTATAGTACTTTGAGTTTTCTAATTATAAAAGTATTTAGGCAACTTTAAAATTTTCCTTAAAAGTCATACTAATATAGCTACCTGTATGCCAGTGTCCTGAATTATCCACCTCTTACCAAAGGTACTGTCAAAAATATCGATCAAAGACAACAGTGGCTGTCATTCACTGAGCACTTTTCTGGAGTTGCTGTACTGATTCACTGAACTGTGTTTTCTCCTGAGCCAATACTGAAGTAGCTTATAGTACAGACACATTCGAGTATTAAGTATTTTAAGCAGAATCATTCATGTTCTCTAACAATATAGATGATAGGAAGAACACAAACCTTGGAACGTAATATGAATTCTGTCTCCATGACTCAAGTGTTCTTGGTAAGCCTCAATCTCTGAGCATCCATTTCCTTTCTATCAAATAGGGTTAACATCCCTATGCAAATGGGCTTTATTCAGGGTGTTGTAAGGTAGGGTGACTTGGCACTCTATTTGCTATAAAAGGATGCTTACAACACTGTTAACACCACAGCTAAGCCAATCATACAGCAACATTCTAAGAAGATCAAATTAATCAACTGAAATAATGTACATTTTTATGTATCAAATTAAACAGTTTCATCTTATTGAGCAAGAGATGTATTTTCAAGTGTACAAAATTAATCTTGAAAAAAAGAGGTTTATTATATCCAGGGAATGCATGAAGCTGCAAACTATACTCTTCACTTTTCCAGCCTACTTTGAGCAAATGTTTGAGGTTCTTTCCTAATGTTTTGTTTCCTCCTTTTACTGGTCATGGCACAAAGCATGATGCACACATAGGCCTCCTCCCCACAACAGACATTATTTCTTTCCCTTCCCAGCACCTTGAATCTCAGCTGCACCCTGATCATCTTCTCTCTTCTGATCAGGTGTAGGATCCCGACTTTCAGTGGGTGGTCTCTCTTCTTTAGGCTCTTCAACACTGGGCTCCTGGGGCAAAGGGAAGGCAGTGTGTGTGTGCAGATACAAAGTCTTGTTATCAATACATGTCAATAATACAAATATACAGAATACACAGATACTTCTAATCATAAGTAAGTCTAAAGACACTTCTCCAACACTATTCCATATACTTATTCTTCACAAAGTTACTCTTCCAGAAGAGAGGTTACTCTAAGACAGTTGCCCTCAAAGGCTTTGGAAGGCATTTTAATCTATGTTGGAATGGATTTGTGCAATCTGTTATCAGTAAGCATGAGGAGGAAGTAATGGCAGGGAACACAAGGTTATCCATGCAGGCAAAACCAGAATGTAATCCTCTTGAATTAGTCTTTCCTTCATGAGATGCTATCATCATTTTTATCAACATGGAAGACATTTATCAGTGTATCTATACTAGTGCAACAACACTATCAAAAAAGAAATTTCTGCTAATAAAAAACATAGAAATGTCAAAGCACTCACAAGCATAGCCCCAGTTAGCTCAGGAGGCTGTAAACTTCTTCTTGGCCTAGGCCTATATGTTGATCTTCCTCGCCAACTCATATTTCACTCTGCAAACAGAATACTGTGATTGGGAAAGTGTGCTTGAGAGAATAGCTATATTCGACCACTTCCATGGCCAAATGTTAAATCTCAGTCTTTAAAAAAAAAAATGGAAATACTTTGAAAGTAAGTCCTAGGGCAAGTAGAGGTGTGTATATCTTCTGAATCGAATGCTTGAAAATCCACTTACATTTGGCAAGCTAGCAGACCAATGTCTTAATGCTCCTGGCAAAAGGCACAGGATCTTTCCCATGAGGTTTGGTTTCACAACTGGATTCTCCATCGTGGAGATATTTAAACTTATACAGCTAGACAATTAAAACTGCAGTGACCACGGCTTTCATCACACATCCTTTGCTTGGACAATTTCACCCCTAAAATCAAAGTTTTGTTGGAACAAAAACTTTGGGTGCTCGCCATCAGACACTTCTACCAGGTGCTTTACAGACCTCGGGGCTGCGGTCACCAGCTCATAGCATTCCCAGTTCCCAGGCACCTTCCTTACTGCCCACACAGCCCATTCCTGGGTCCCCACCAAGAAGTCTGGAATCTGTCCCCTACTGGGGGTTCCAGGCACTTCTGGGACTCCGATACCTCCAACAGCACCCACAACACTAACCCCATCTTCATCTGATCCCCCTTCAGTCCACGGCCCACCTTCCTTATGACTTGGAGCCTCTTCTGCCTCTGAGGCCACAGACCACGCTGCCTGACCCTCTGGAAGCCCGCTGGCTCCTCCTCACATTCACTCACATTTCAATTCCTGGGAGGACTGGCCTGTGGACCTACAGGCTGCATCTCAGTAGGAGACAAAGAGTCCAGACAGCTGGAATGCTACCCTCACACTCTCACAGCTCTGCAGCATTCACCACGTGGGCAAAGGAGTCGAAGGGAAGATGCCCAGTGAACATGTGCAATGAGGCAGGCACCCAAGGAGCAAGCACACTGAAGTCTGTGCCTGCCCCGACTTGCTGCACCCCATTCTGCACCACACAGTCCTCCCCCCACTTCCTGTTTCCCACTGAGGACTTTGGAATGCATCCTCTGTGAGCCTCAGGGCCTTAAATACCACAAATAGTTTCCCCCTTTCATGTTCACCTGATCTTCCTCCCCTCTATGGTCCTCCTTCCTCCCTTGTCTGGCACCTCCACGACAGCAAGGCCATGGTTGCATCGCTGCCTGTTAGGAGAAGGATAGAGAACTCAAAGCCCTTCCACCTAGGAGGCCATGAACTGTGTCCGCGAGCTTCTCCTCACACTCACTCACACTTAAACCTCTAGGATTACTGATCTGCGAACCTACTAGCTGACTCCTAGTCGGCAAGACAGAAGGAAGTCACTACCTCTCTTAGCACAGGTCTGCAGGGACAGAGGGCAGACAGCAAGTCGCATGGACAACAAGGGACTTGAGCAGCAAGGGGCATGCACACTGAGTCAGGCACATACAGGGTCAGCCAGGGATTTCCTGCTGTCCCCACATCCGAATCCTCAGCATGTTTGTAGTAGAAAGGGACTTAATAGCTATTGTTTTCTCCCTCTCTTGCCCTAACGTTTTCATGCATCCAAAATCTTTGGGAACAGATAGTCCCATGTCAATCTTAGTGATTGATGTGCCTCAGAAAGGCCATTTGCAACAGAAATTATTTTAATGTCTACATTGATACATGCCTTTTTTTTTCAGACAGGCTGTTACTCTGTCGCCCTGACTGGAGGGCAATGGCATGACTACCACACTGCAGCCTGGATCTCCTGGATGCAAACAATTCTCAAGATGCAGCCTCCAAAGTAGTTGGGACTACAGGTGTGTGCCACCACGCCAAACTATTTTATTTATTTATTTACTTAGAGACAGAATCTTACTATGTTGTCCAGGCTTGTTTCAGTTCCTGGGCCCAACTGATCCTGACACCTTGGCCAATTTTTATGCGTGCTTTGATTAATAACTTCCTTCTCTGGTCTGAGATTTTCTGCCATGCTACTACCAATGAATTGAACCACTTGTGTAGACTAAATAAATTCACACCTCTTCCTTTTTTAGGTTGTATTATTGCACATTTTAAACTCTGGACTGGTAACTGATTTCTCTGAATATACCTGTAGGCCATTCAGACAGTGTATGGTTCAGAAATACCCATACATATGATACGATTTGGCTCTGTCCCCACACAAATTTCTTTTTGAATTGTAGTTCCCATAATCCCCATGTCCTGTGGAAAGGACCTGATGGGAGGTAATGTAATCGTGGGAGTGGTTACCTTCATGCTGTTTCTGTGATAGTAAGTTCTCACAAGATCTGATGGTTTTATAAGGGGCTTTTCTCCTTTTCCTCATACTACTCTCTTATGCTGCCATGTGAAGAAGGATGTGTTTGCTTCCACTTCTTCCATGAATATAAGTTTCCAGAGGCCTACCCAGCCCTGTGGAACTGTGAGTCAATTAAACCTCTTTCCTTTATAAATAACCCACTCTCAGGTATGTCCTTATAGCAGAGTAAGAACGGACTAACATAATATTGGTCCCAGAATTTGGGCTTAGTCTATTGTGACATGATATACAGCAGTGGTGACTATGCTCATCTTATACTCTACTCCCCAAATATCAGTCAAATAACCTGTTCATAAGACAGTGCTGACATTATTTGCATAAAGCTATAAGGTAGAGCACTACCTCCACAGAGGCCCTAGTATGTCAGATGTGGAAGGGCTTTAGGTATATTTGTTCTGCTTTTGATGTCTGGTATAAAGTGGGTGTTTTAAAGTGGGGGATGGTTTGGTTAGAATTGGGTAGGAGTCATAATGATTTAGGATTGGTGGATGCAGCAAGACAAGACTTTTTAGACAAGGGGTTCAAAGAGTTTTGGAATTGAAAATTCTCATTTGACACTTTTTATTGAGGAGTTGATGGATCTTTCAGGCAATTGCTGGAAAGAACAATAAAGTGTTTTTGCAATTTTTATTTTCCTAGGTAAGAGATTCCTTTATTAGTAAAATTATGTTAATGAAGCCAGTAAGGTATAAACTTTCATTAATATAGACAGTAAACTGTGCCCATGAGTCCTGTTCTTATTACTTTAAGATTACCTAGCAGTTTAATTTGCAAAATAGTATATAGAAGGAAGGGAAAGATAGGAAGGGGACCCTGATCAGAACTTAACCTTTTACAAATAAATTTGTTGAACTGACATCTATATATTCTAAGTGGCTTGGCTTTTTTTTTTTTTTTAGATGGAGCCTCACTCTGTTACCCAGACTGGAATGCAGCAGTGGCACAATCTTGGCTCACTGTAACCTCCGCCTCCAGGTTCAAGTGATTCTCCTGCCTCAGCCTCACAAGTAGCTGGGATTACAGGCACGTGCCACTACGCACTATGTCCACCTAATTTTTGTATTTTTAGTAGAGACGGGGTTTCACCATATTAGCCAGGCTGGTCTTGAACTCTTGACCTCAAGTGATCTGCCCAGCTCAGCCTCCCAAAAGTGCTGGGATTACACGAGTGAGCCACCACACTCGGCCGCAGCTGGACTCCTTTTAAGGAAATACCTTGAGTAGGAAAAAAGAGGTTCCTCAGTTCTCTCTCTCTCCTCTCTAAAAAGCGGCTTGAGTAGACATTGTAGTTCTCAAAGTTTATTTAAGGAATGAAAGCAGTCATAATCCTGATCTATTATTTAGTTTATCTGTTATCATTTTTGTTCTTTCTTGACAAGGACACTGTCATTACTAAATTTTACTTGCATTTTCCCCTTATTAACTCCAGTTTTTAGTATAGTGCACTCAGAAATGTTCAAAGATTGGGAGAAAGTGACATCTGGGTTTAGATTTTCTGTGAACATCTAATTAGCAAATGGCCAAAGTCAGGCCATCAGATGGCTGGATGGATGTGCTTCACAACGACCTGGATTTTAATGATTCCTGAGTGGACACACTTCAGCTTCAAAGGGCAGGTTTTAACCTCCTCCCAAGTTTGAGCTTCCCCCTGTTATTCCCATGGCAGGTGACCTTTGTCCAACTGACTGAGTTCAAAGGATCGTAATTGGATTGGGATGGGAGCAAGTTGTGAGGTAGCCCTTGTGACTCACAGGAAGTAGCAGAAAGTATGAGAAACACTTTAGAGAAAGGAAGAGTTGCGTGATACATGACCCTAGCAACTCTGTGGGCTGCTAAGGGAGAAGTTGGACCTGAGACCAACACAGCCGGTGGGTGGGCTCGATTTCCCACATGACAAGAGTTTCCCACCCTCCAAGCACTGCAATATGAACAAACTTAAATTTCCACAGGATGGTACGTGGGCAGGAGAAAGTCTACAGATTCTGAGCAGCTGGCAGTTTTCAGAATACCACAGTAAACAGTGTCACCTGAGCTCTTCAGATTGCTTGTTGGTTGAGATCAAATTATTTACTATCTACCATGGTAAGTTCAACTTTCTTACTTGCCTCACAGTAGGGAAATGGAGTGCCTGTGCATTCACAGGGAGGTCTCCGTGAATGGTTGCAATGCATGACAATTCAGCTATGCTGTAGCTCAAGCAAAGCCTCCACATGATACCAAGAGAAGAAGTCATATGTACTTTCTGTCTCCTTTGCATGTGATTTCATGTCTGTCCAGGTAACACTTCACCTGTGCAAAACAGACATGGTTACACATTTCATCTGTAATTATATATTTTGTGGTAACCTTTGTGGCTCATAACAAAGACAAGCTTTTTGGCCAAGTGCAGTGGCACATGCCTCTAATCCCTGCTACTCGGCAGGCTGAGGTGGGAGAATCGCTTGAACTCGAGAGGCTTAGGTTGCAGTAAGCCGAGATTGGGCCACTGCCCTCCAGTCTGGGTGACAGAGGGAGACCCTGTCTCCAAACAAACAAACATGACCATTTTTCCGAAAATACTAAATTCCCAAGGAGAAAAACCACACTGGATTCTCATGTGTATTTGCATATACTTCTATGATAACATTTATTAACCATTGAGGATGCCCTGTGAAAAGGCTTTAATCTTTTCCATACTGGTTTGTCACCCATAGTGGTTCAAAGAATTAATGTTGTCCCCCACAAACAGCATTTTAACGAAATGAGATAAAATAAATTAGTAAATAGCATTCACTGCATATGGAATATTCAAATAGACTGAACATGCACATATACATACATATATTTATTTGCCTACTGAATATATGCCTACTGAATTATATACAAACTATGCATTTCTCATGAATTGTAATAAAAAGTTTGAAAGCCATTACTTTGGAGGTTATTGGACAAAATGTCTAGGGGCCATTTCTTAAACCATTGATGAGGATGATGGATTAAGATTTGCTCAGAGCAAGTTCACTGTTGTCTGTAGCTTTCTACTACTGCTTGAAATAGCTCTCAGTCATGTTTAAATTGGTTAGTTTTACTGTGAGCATTTGACTCTCAACAAACTCACTTGTGAACTCATGAGCTGGTGAGAAGGAAGTCCAATTAGTGGTGGGGCCTTACTTCCTACTAAGTGTTTCTGCAGTTCTAGGGTGTGTTCATGTGTGTGCTTCAGCACTCATTGGATGCTGCTTCCATGTGTTCTCTTTATTTTTCTCCATTTATTATTGACTGTCTCTTATTGACCCTATTAAGTACTTCACTAGAATCCAGTGACGTTGCCACCTGTGGTATTCAGTGTTGATCCATTTTATATGTATTCAAATATATTTTCAAGCATGAGTATTTATTCTTACCAAGTATTCCTTAAGTAATTGGAGGAGTTCAATGCAACTAAATATCAATATTTGATATTAGATCTTACTGGGCAATAATCCTGCTAAATTTCTTTTTTTTTTCCCCATTTATTTATTTTATTGCATTTTAGGTTTTGGGGTACATGTGAAGAACAGGCAAGATTGTTGCATAGGTACACACGTGGCAGTGTGATTTGCTGCCTTCCTCCCCATCACCTATATCTGGCATCTCTCCCCTTG